GCTGAGCGACATAAAGGAAAAGAAAGACATCTGGACACGTGTGGTCCCTGCCCCCAGTCCTGGCTCCAGCACCTACAGCTGAGGAGGCTGTGTTAGCGAGGGCAGTCCTTCTACCACTTTCCTGGATCTGTGATTAGCATGAAAGTTCATTTGCTCATGCACAACCACAAGTATTGACTGAGAGCTTAGGAGGAATTGGAACACTTCTCAGAGTTCAGGTCTTATCAGTAAGCAAAGAAGGCAAAGAAAAAGGTCTAGGTGGGTCTTACTTTCGAGAAGGGAAAAGAAGACATAAACAGCCAAATAATTAAACCAATTGTGTCATCTGTGTTTCCTCTCAGTCAGAAATAATGCTCCCTCTATATGGAGAAAGATGAAGTAGAGAAATGGATGGAATGGAAAGTGGGGCAAAGAAGGAGAGGGAGAAAGAGATGGTGGGGAGATGGGTGGAATGGAGAATGGGGAATGGAAGGAGAGGCAGAACAAGTCACAGTGCAAAGTGGGAAGACAAGGCAATTGGACAGGGTTATGATCAAGATCACGAGGTAGAGGCATCCAGTCAGGTCAACGTCAAGAAGGCTCTAGTCAGCAGGCCAGTCAAGCACGGGCCTTGAGCAGATATGGACTTAGGGTGTTCAAAGGCTAAAAAAGGATGGACTAGGTGAACAAGAGGAAGCACTGGTGGCCTAGTGTCTAGAAGCTGTGCTGCAATCCCAAAGACACGCAGTTCAAATTCACCAGCTGCTCCATGGAAGGATGGGCAGTCTCCTTCTGTGCAATTAACTGCCTCTGAAAACCCACTGGAGGAACAACTATGAGTCGGTTTCAACTAGATGGTACACAACAACCATAACAACTGATGGACCAGAGGAGGCTAGCAGTGCTGGGCCAATCCATAGGCACCAAAAGGATGGTGGTGACATAGGAGCTTTCGAAGGGTTCTTAGCTAGACATGTGTGGTTCAACTCCTTCAAAACCTCAAACTCATGTGGAGTCGGAATGCACTCACAGCTGCCCCTCCGTTGGATTCCTGAGATTATAAAGTTCACAGGAAAAGATTGCCCATGTATCTCCTCAGAGCCACTGATGGATACCAACTGCTAGAAAGACTCAGCCCTTAGGTAAGCAGTATGACTCCCTACAGACTATCCGTCACTCTGAGGTTGTGACACTACACTCTTTGCTTAGTTCCCAGGGTTCATTTCCTGCCTCTGTGGCCAGAAGGCAATTTCTCTCTTCAGTCTGTCTCCATGCAACTTTGTACTTATCCTTGCATATGAGTGTCACCGAGGTCCCAGTGGCTTCCTTAAGCCAACAACAAGATGTTATGGACATCCCAGGACACTATGGATACTCTACAAGACTATAGATGGTTCAAGAGACTTGAATGTCCTATGAGATCATGGATAGTGTATGAGACTATAGATGGTCCATGAGACCATGGATGGTCCAGAAGATTATGGATGGCCTGTGAGATCATGAATGACCTAGGAGCCCATGGATGGTCCATGATTTCATGGTTGGCCCAGGAATTCATGTATATCCAATGAGATCATGATGGCCAAGGAGATCATAAATGACCCAAGAGATCATGAACGACCCAAGAGATCATTCATGACCTAGAAGGTCCATGGACCTAGATGGTCCATGATATCATGAATGACCCAGGAGCTCATGAATGCCCTGTGAGGTCATGGACCCAGGAGATTGTGGATAGCCATGAAACCATGGATGACCCAAGAGATCATCAATGACCCATGAAATCAGGAATGATGCAGAAGATCATGTGTGGCCCATGAAATTATGGATGGCCCAGGAGATCGTGGATGACCTAGGAGCTCATGGATGGTCTATGAGGACATGGATAGTCCATGAGACTATAGAAATCCCAGGAGATCACTGCTTCATGGAAGTAGCTACAAGATCTCAGAGTTCATTGTGTCACTAGACATAGAGACCAGAACTGCAAGTAAGGAGAAGTCCCTAGCTTCAGCCTCACTGCCCTCTACTCTCATCTTGCTAACTGCTCTGCTTCTGTGGCTCTGCAGTAGGAAGCAATGTGCTAGCATCTCCTCAAATCCCCTTCTCTCGGCAGATGAGTGAGCAGCTGCGTCCAGGGCTTCCTCATGCTGTCGAGCTCTGCGAGGTTGCTGCTCACGCTCTTGTCTTCACGCAGCGTCTCCAGCTCCTGCAGCAACCTCTTTGGCTGATGCACACGTTTGTGCTGTTTGGAAGTGCCTGAATGTGCAAACCATTTATGTATTCAGCTACTGCCTGAAAGGCTGGAGGTTTGAGTCCACTCAGAAGTGCCTCAGAAGAAAGGATGGTTATCCACTTCCAAAAAAATCAGCCATTGACAAGCCTATAGAGCTAGAAACCATTTATCCAAGGGCTAATCAACCACAAGAACTCGACTTCCACGACCCTGAGACTAGCCCTAGATGGTCCCTGGCCACCACTGCTGCCCACTCTGAAAGGGGTCGCAGCAGAAGGTCCCAGATAGAGTGGGAGATAAACGTGAAACAAAATTCAAAATCCATAAAAATGGTCACACTTGCAGTCTCAGAGACTAAAGAAAATGCGGAGTAGATTGCCCTATAGTGACCCTGCAATCCTGGTACAAAACTCAACTGTTAGCCACACAAAAGAAGAAAGTGACCGATAACACCAGGGAAGCACTTATTCCTTAGACTGACCAACCGCTTTAGATCAAAAGGGCAACATTTTCCCAGGAACAAGGTCCAGAAGGCACCAAGTCGATAGATGGACTGCTGGAAATGAGAATCACAGGGAGGAAGTGGGAAGATGTAATTACACTGAGGGCGTCGTTAATTCATGAAAACAAAATTTGTATGAAGGGTTGGATAGAAAGCTAACTAGTTCTGTGCCTCATACATATTTATTTCACAGAGAGAGAGACAGCTTATCAGCACCATTCCACTGAGACACACATCACACATGGTTTCTGCATTCCCCTCTCCATACTCTTTCCTCTCTCCTCAGCCTTCACCCCTGGAAGAGGAGACAGCTAGCCT